ACTATAAAAGGAGCTTACATTTTGATTGGTTGTGGTTTTCTGTAATGATCTCTGCTGCAAAGAGAAGTTTCCTTGATGCGGGTGGAGACTACGGCTGTCTGTGGGTATGAGGACAGATATTTACCATGAAGTGAAGGGCTGCGCTGGCTTAGAAAAGCAGTGATTGTAGCTTCTCCTTCAAGATCCACGATGTCATTGGCCCTGGGTAGTTGTCTGGTTCCCAGTATCAGACATGACTTCCCTCTTGTTGAATGGGTCTTAAGTTCATTTAGGGAGCTGCTGGTAACTGCCAAGGTATGCGTGCCATTATGGCACCCTTGGAGGTACCATGCTATGCTGGTCGTTGGTATGGTTCGTGGGTGTTAAAGCTGGGTAGAGTGCTGTTTGCTTCCTGCCTTTGGAAGTTTTTGTGGCACCTTCTGGTACCATGAAAGCTAGTCCTCCGGGAAGAGGATTTCAGGTCAGTTCCAGCTCAGGGACATGGGGCCCTGTGTCTGAAGTACATGGTGTTCACAGCAAGATGTGTTTGCCTTCCACATCTGGGCAGAAACCAAGGACAATAGTCTGTAATGTTGGACAACCCTGACCAGCAGCCCAAAAGCAGGTTTCTCATGCCTGATGAGATGCGGGGGATTCTGTTAGATGGTCTTTGGCTCTTGGAGGAAGCATTGTCAGCCTAGGTGGGAAATTTTCATTTAAACTACATACATTTACTTAGACAATGGCTCTGTAGTTTAGGTAGATAGTAAACTTTGCAGTTCCTTTTGACTCCCCCGCCCCCCGCCCGCCATCTTTACTGCTGTTTAACCTTCCCGTCCCTCCCTAACTAGAAATCCCCTTTTCTCATTTCCCCCGCTCACACCACCCATTCTCTGCTAGTCTCCTCCCCGTTCTCCCCCAGGCCCCTCCACGGCAATGGCCCCTTATGATTTTTCTGTGTTTTGCGGTTACTCCAGGCTATGCATGCACATCTGAAGGTTTGGTGCTCCAGATAAGAAAGAACACGTGACGTCTGCCTTTCTCGGTCTGGGCTACCTTGCTCACTGTGTTCTTTTCTAGTTCCATCTGTGCGGCTGCAAAGTTCATAATTTCGTTTTCCTTTACTGCTGAGTCGTATTCCATAGTGTGATGGAATTTTTGGTATTCGTTCATCTGTTGATGATCTGTTGATGTTGTTCATCTAGGTTGTTTCCATTTCCTAGCTATTGTGAATAGAGCAGCAGTGCATAAGGCAGAGCAAGTGTCTGAGGAACCCTTTGTGCACATGCTGAGGGGTGCTACATCTGGGTCATATGGTGTCGGACTGCTCAGAACCACTGAAAAGGCAACAGAAACCTGCCCTCCCTGGTTTTGAAGTATGCTTCTGCCCCCTTGTTTTCTGCCATGTGATTTAAAATTTTTACCTTGTGCAGTAAACTGCAAAGATCTGTGTCAGCATTCTGAATTGAAAATAAGTAAATATATTGGGGAGGGGGACACCAAGTCATCTCAAAATAATCAGTATCCATTAGTATCCATGCTGATGGAGGGAAATGTGAAAGAGTAAAGCAAAATAGATTTTCCATTAGCATCAGGTTTAAGAATAAGACCTTTAGGGGACAGGCAGAATTCCTAGGGTTTCTTGGTCAGCCTGTCTAGCTCCATCAGTGAGCTCCAAGCTTAGGAACAAAAACAAATAAGGTGGTAAGCAATAGAAAAAGACACCTAACACAACCTGGGGCTGAAATGTGCATCCAGTCATGTATGCATGCACGTACACACACAGACACATCTGCATGTATGAACAAATACATATGCAATCCACTCAAAATCTTTTTTTTAAAAAAAAAAAAGATTAAGACTTCTACCCCAGCAATAAAAATAGACATGCAGAAACTCTTTGTCTTACCATGGCAATTCTGGATATGATGTTATATTAAAACACTAGTACCCCATCGTGCACTGTAAAGTTAGACATATTTGCCAGGAGTACACGCTTAAGCATGAGTTTTAAAGGGCAGCATATTCTAGTCTCCAAAACACTTAGCAAATAACCTTTGAGTTCACATGAGCCACCCACACAAAAACCAAAATGAACTAGACAGAAAAAAAAATTGCAAAAGCAACTGTCTGTTGACAACCAGATTTTCTTTCAGTCCTTGAGCTTTTGTCTATAAATAATCTGTGTGTTTCGAGTCTGACCATTGTCTTCGGTGGCCCCTCCTGACATGTTCTCAGTTCAGTGTGTCTTAAAACAAATATTAAATGTGTAAATCATGGGAACTATTGTGTTTTTAGAGGGGAGCTGTTGGAGATATGTGCTTTCTAGATACCCAGAGTGTCACAATGAAGCATTAAGATGATGTATTCTTTCTTTGAGCATCTGTTTATATTTTGTGAGATCTTGAGCTTGATAAATCACCAGAGATAAAAACTTCATGTTTAACTTATTGTGGATCCCCAATGCCGAGAGGAGAGACGGCGCTGTGTCCTCTCTCCATGAATTTACCTCTCTCCCTGCTGAGGACTTACAGGCTTTTATTTGCAGAGAAAATATAATGCTCTGGTGCCTGGAAAGTGATGGCTTTTGCTCAGAAACCTGAGAAGCAAAGGGAAAAAAAGAGAAACATCCATTGACAGATATGATAATTTAACATGTTTTAATATTGGCCTAAAGTGGCATAGAGTGTTAAATAGGGAGAAGACCACAAGGTAATTTAAAGCAAAGTTTTAAGAATGTTTTTAGTTTTGTTTTTCAAGTCAGGTATATCTGTGTGTTCTGTGTGAGTGTGTACCACACGTGGGCAGGTGTTGGAGGAGTCCAGAGGTGTCAGATTCCTGGAGCTGGAGCAACAGGTTGTTGTGAGTCACCAGGTAGGGATGCTAAGAACCAAACTTGGGTCATCCACCGTAACAGCAAGGGCTTTTGACTAATGAGCTCTCTCTGTACTATAAGTGAGGATTTTTTTTAAAATCAGATTTTACCTTCATCTGTTGACACTTAAAACCTCTGAACAGATGCAGCGGAATGGATATTGGATACTTGATGGGGATATGACTTTTAGATTAATCCAAATAACTGATGAAGGTATCTTTTGATATATATATATATACATAGATAACATATATATTATATTCATTACATATGCACACAGAGAGAAAGAGAAAGAGAATTTTGTCTCTCAAAATCACCCCAAAGTTCTCTCTTAATTGACAATCCGGCTAATCAATAAAATCCCCACAGATTTTACATGTATATATGAATATTCTACTGTATCCAAGGGGACCACACTTGTAGGGATGGCTTCTCAGCAGTTCCTACTGTGAACTTGGAGGATCAAAGCACACGACTCATAAATAAGTCAATCAAAATGGTATGGCGTGAATGTTCACACTGCCTGCCGCTCCACATGTAAGGAAGCCCCCTGCTGCAGTGAGTGCCCCCAATGCAATGCCTTGCCTTTAGTTTATTGTTCTCCAGCCCTCAGCAGGTGGAGGCACATTCAGGCACACAGATGAGTTTTTCTGATAACTGCCACAAAGATCTGCTTGAGGAGATGATAGCTTCTGTCCTGGGTGTCAGAGGTGCCGATGGCATCTGTGAGCCCTTCTCTCTGCTCTCACAAGAAGCATGCGAGTTAAGATAAGAAGCCCGTGGAATTATTAAGGTAGCCAGATGTTCTGGAGTTTCAAGCCTCCATCTATTTTCTCACTCCAACGGCTACAGAAAGAACTGGCCTTTAGATCAGGAAGCTATTCCACCTGAATGAAGCATCTGCTTACTATGTCAAAGGGTTGCAGTCCATTGTGGCAGGGAAGGGCTGGCAGGGCAGGTCTTTTTATGGGGACAGGAGTATAGGACAGGAGCTGTTCTCACCACAACAGACCAGGAATCAGAGAGTGGGGTTGGGAGGCAGGACCAGGAATGACCCTTAATGGCCTCCTTCCTCCAGCTAGACCCAACTCCAAACATTTCTAGAATCTTCCAAAATAGCACCCTGGGGACCAAGCATTTAAACAGAGGTCTCTGGTCAATATATCAGGTTTAAATCAGAAACTTCTGCCTACTCACACAGGGTTTGGGCAGGTCAGGACGGAACCTGGGGTAGTCTATTGCTTTGCCCGGTTGGATGGACAAGCCTGCTTGGTTCAGATGCAGTACTCATCTGGGATGATTGACAGCAGAACAGCAGTGAAGGGCTGGCAGTGTGCACCCAGCCCTCAGTCCAGCAGTAGGAGGGCAATCTAGATGGGTTAGACAGTAAACATCTTAGTCCCTGTCACCAGAAGAGAATTAGAGTCCGAGGATGCCAGGACATCTTTAAAAGTGAAATAATATAGCCAAAGCTATATGCAAGGAAGAAAGTCCGTGTTCCCATGCTTATTTAGATAAAAAATGGTGCTCACATGGCAGACTTTTGATGAGAAACTGGCCATGGGTATAGAGAAGAGGGGGTTACTTTATGGAAACTGTAATGTGCACAGAGACATTCAGACTGATTTAAATACCCATTAGAGCATTTTTGTAAACCATCTTGTGTTTCCCTTAGCCCTTCTGTCAGAAAAGGTTGGTTGAAGAAAGATGGTTAAATACAGTTGGGGAGTCTGGGACATACTTGGGTCAGCATTTGGGGCCATGTCATGTTTTCACCACACAGAGAACTGGTGCATGGAAATCACCATGGAAGAGGATGGTTGAAAGCTGACATCAAAGATACCAAGGCAGAGTTGGGATTCCCTTCATGAAGTCACCGGAATAGGGACAGAGTGTAGCCTCTCAGGATGGCTCATGCAGTGACTGAACCCAGGACTTTCTGGTGGTTTCCCTGGAGGCTGGCTGACTCTAGTGGCCTTGTGACCATGGGAAAGTCTCTGCACACAGATCCCAGCCCATGCAGTGGACAGGCAGGGAACTCTATATGTCCCTAAGCAAGCATGATTGACATGCCATACGAGGTTCCACACGGATGTGCTGGCAGTCCCCAGGGAGGTCACTCACCTTTCTCTCTCTTCCCTTCCAGTTGCATTAGAGCAGTTCACGCTGGCCGTGAGGCACTGTCCGGACAGGGAGGACCAGGCCTTGCTAATGAAGGTAGGTTATCAGATAAGTCCTTATTTCCTTAAAGCCTCCTTGCATTCTGATTGCCCAGAGGAGAGCTCTGTGTTTCACGTGCGGGAGTAGATTTATCATCTCTGAATTTTGTGCTCCGTGGGGATATGCCTGTCAGTGGCTGGCGGGAGGGTGGCTGGCTAATGAGCACAACCGCCGTCTGTGGAACACAGGTGTGACAGGAAAGTGGGTGTCGGCGACTCGCAGGAGCCTACGTGATTCTCGGCGGATTTGGTTGGTTTTATTTAAACTTATCTGACAGTCTCGATTCTTATAGCAGATTTATGAGACTTGGCCAAATTCCATGTCTCCGACTATATTTTTTAATTAAGATAAAGGATCCCACACCTTCCCAGTTGGCCCCATCTTCCCTTTCGCCACCAGAGGGAACGCCACACAAATTAGATCTCTCGTGTCAACCACCGAGATGGTCAACTCATGTCGTGGGTTCTTTGTCCTTGAGTCAAAACAAACTCACTTTCTTCTCAACAACAATCACTTTATTTCCTCCCAGATGGCACGGACAGAGGTGAGGTCTAACCTATATTTAGGCTGTGAATCCGGGAGATCCCGAAGAGGTCAGGCAAGCAGCCTGCGCGATTTTAGTAAAAACTGGAGGGGAGCAGCTCATCAGGGTAGAGGCTTACACACGTTTCCACCGATGACTAAGCCTCCTGTTTTCACCTAGCAATGTACAGACTGACCTTGAACGCCAGTGTTTCCATGATGTCATTTCCATTCTGTGCCACCAGGAAACCGTATGTACCAGGAGTTGCATTTCTTTACCTAAATACAGACTCTTTACCAGGTGTCTTCGGACTTGAGAAATGGGTGGGAAAAAGAAATAGGATGTCACTCTAAGGGATTTTCAACTCATTTGCCTAAGGTGTGATATTTTCGGTCTGTCTATTTTTTGTTTAAAAATAAAACTTTCAGTGATGTTTATTTTATCATAGAGAAGGGCTGCTGATTCCAAGTGTTGGGTTGGTCTGGGAGACCTGGTTCATCTGAGCCCAGGGTGACTTGGCACGGCAGATCCAGGCACTTGAGCTCTCTCGCTGGTCTCAGGTCTTCCACACTGGTTTCATTCCCTGCCCTGAGCTCCATCCCTAGCCTGTCTGGTCATGTACAGGTTGGCTTCCTGTGACCCTGAGGCAGCCTTGAGTAGTAGACACTCCCTTGGGTTTTGTTGTTGTTGTTGTTTGTTTTTTTAGTTTTTTGTTTGTTTGTTTCTTGAGACAGGGTTTCTCTATAGCTTTGGAGCCTGTCCTGGAACTAGCTCTTGTAGACCAGGTTGGCCTCGAACTCACAGAGATCCACCTGCCCCTGCCTCCCAAGTGCTGGGATTAAAGGCGTGAGCCACCACTGTCCGGCGACACTCACCTTTTAACCGGCGTCATTCATTGTTCAGACGCAGAGCCTCTGCCGTCTTCTTCCGTCCTGTCTGGCATCTTCTCCCATCTGCTCTTTGACACCTTTTCTCCTCACTTGGTCACTCCGACCCTTCTTCAAGGGGAGAAGCTCCTGGGCTCCCCTCCATCCTGCTTGTGAGCCTCTCTGGGAGCTTATGTGGGAATCTCGGAGGCAGTGTGGGTTAGAGAACTGAGCACTAAGCCCAGGAGCCCACACCACCAGACCCACTTCTAATTACCCTCCTGGTTACGCGTCTGCGTCCCTCTCTAGATTTCTTCTGGTCTCAGACAAGTAGGTAAAAGCAGCAAATTGAAGGCTCTTCCTCCCAAACTGTCCCCTGTTGCTTCTCATGCCGGCCCAGCTTCTCTAGTCCACTTGGTTAGAAACAAACATGTAGATGTGGGGTACAAATCAAGCTTTCTCAAGATGCTCTGGAATGTGGGTGCCTCTCTGTATTTGTGTCTTCCCTGGTGGCTCTTCAGCTTGTATGACCACAATAACTGAGAGAGTTGTCTGTGGTGTTTTTACAGTATCTTCAAGATATTTGAGCAGGCCTCATCAAAGGAGTTTTACTGAACAAAATGATGTGTTCAGTTCATATCTACCAAAACTACTTTGTGACTTTTTCTTCAAGAGATTGAGGTTTCTTTCATGTCACCTATGAGAGGCCACCATGTGGGTGTGACAGGAATGTGTAGGATTTTTTTGTGGATATGTGTAAAAAAACAGTAGGTCGTTTTGAACATGCTTGATCAGCTATCCAGTGTGTTCACACTAGTGTACTTTGGAGTTTATCTGTAGTAAATTTCGTGTGTGTGTGTGTGTGTGTGTGTGTGTGTGTGTGTATGTAGCTGAGAACTCTAACAATGTATTTTGACCATATTTATCTCCATCCCTCAGTTTTTCTCCAATCCGCCCCCTTCCTTACCCACTCTAATATTTGCCCCCCACTAAAATCTATCAAGTCCAATCTGTGCTGCCCAAATATTCCTAGAAGTGTAGCCTAATACTGAAATGTGGGCAGCCTATGAGGAGCTCCATGTTTAGAAAAATAACTAATAACACCCCCACCCTCCCCAGCAGCTCTCGGTTGCCAGTAGCTCCCTGACTAGTAGGGATTTGTACCCAACTCCCCTCTCCCTGCTGGGATTTGCTCTAGGTTTGCACAGGTCTTTTGCAAGCTGTCACAGTCACTGGAAGTTCATATGCACAGCTGTCCTCCTGTGTCCAGAAGACACTGTTTGGTTGTAGTCGCCCTCTCTCTGGTTCTTACAATCTTTCCGTAGCCTCTGCTACAATGATCTCTGAGCCTTGAAAAGAGGAAGTGCGGAATAGATGTTCCATTCAGAGCTGAGCCTTCCAAAGTCTCTGCACCTTGGCCAGTGGTGGGTCTATGTTAATCACCATCTATGTGTAATAAAAAGAGAAATAGAAACTTCTCTGATGAAGGCTGAGGACGCATTGATCTATGTGTAATGATAAATCATTAGGAGTCAAATTAGTAGTATATCCATTTAGCAGAATAATAATAATAGATTTTCAACTAGTGCCTGTGATCTGTGTAGCCATAGTCCCTAGGCCCATTATCAGGCAAAGCATGGCTTCAATTTATGGAACAGAGATTAAATCCAATCAGAAAGTGGTTGGTTACTTCCATAATGTTCCTGTCACTGTTAAGCCATCGGTCATGTCTTACCAAGCTAATCATTACTGTAGCTCACAAGAGTAACAGCTAGATAGCATTAATGTTTACTTTTCTGCTCCAATAGTGTGCATAGAAACTTTTAGAATGATAAAATCTAGCCAGTAGGGATACAGCTTCCATGTTAGTATCAGCTTGATTTCTCCATATTCATATTCATAGATGTGGTTGTGTCTTTAGCAATAGGTCTTACTGTCAAGTTCTGGAATTGACCAAGAGTATTGGAGATAGCCTGTAATATTCAAGGTCTGTGGGACCTCACTGGCCAACAACTTCAAAATAAGTAACCTATTCCTGGCACTGGATTTTTTATTTGTAAGACAGTGTATCTAGTAGGGACATTGTTAACCCATTTTAGAGTAATTCTATTTTAATTCATTTTATGAACATATATGTGTGTGCATGTATGAATACACGCACATACATTCGCACACATATATGTATGTATATGTATTTGGATAAAGCTTCTAGAGTTGTAGGTTTCTATATGAGTTCTTTGAAAGGTCCCTAGTGTTATTTCTCCTTCTCCACACTCTCTCCTCTATTCTGCCCTCTCTTCTCCCACCCCAATTTAACACTTCATATTTATTATTCCCTTTTAAATTTCAAAATTCCACTTCACCTCATGAAAATTTGTTGGAGGTCAAAAGAAACAACAACAAAGCCACAAATATTTACTTGTTGGGGGAAACTGTGGCCAAGAAGGTGATGTTCCCAGGGTAATGCTCATTCACTGCACCTGGGATGTTCTAGGCCTTCTAATTTCCCCCAAATTTGGGAAACTTGACTGTATGGCTTGTGGTAGTGGGATAGTGCACTTTCAACACACAGCCTCCCATACGCATACCCTCCCCCCCCCCACACACACGTGTGTGTGTGTGTGTGGGAGATTGGACCAGTGATGGTATGATGATACTACTTTTCCATGCATGTTGTTCAATCATTACTGAAACCAGAGGACAGGTATGTAACTGGAGATTTCTCTCCTCCTCTCCAGTTCCCAAATAAACACTCAGAGGCATATATTAATTATAAAAGTTTGGCAGGTGGCTCAGGCTTAGTACTAACAAGCTCTTACTTTTAAATTAACCCATTTCTATTGTTCTATATTTTACCACAAGGGTCATGGCTTGTTACATCACATCTTGCTTCTCTGGTAGCTGCTGGTGTTTCCCTCGACTCTGCCTTCTTTCTCCCTGTATCTGTTTGGATTTCCCACCTAGCTATAGTAATAAAACATATTCACAGTATGTAGAAGGGCATCCCACTTTACAGGTACTTCAGTCTAACCTGTGAAAGTGCTCCATGTACGGAGATCCAAAGATAGAAGAGATGAGCACAGAGAAGCATATAGCTATGCCAAATTCAAATTCCCCTGGAAGAATCAGAAGTGGTGGGTGGGACTCCAGCCTCTGCCCATGATCAGAATAAACGGAAAATCAAGACCTCTGGATCCTTTAGCTGCTCTCTGGCATAGCCAGTGGTAAGAGGACTTACAGAAAATCCCCGCTCCCAGTGCCCCCTCCCCACAACACCTTCAGAGCACATACAGGAATCCAAGCTTTGATGAACACAGGACACAGTTATGCTTGGCTTGGGGTTCTGTCCTCCTGGGTTGTCAGCCACATTCTCTTCTGTCCTATCAGATGTGTAAGGAACTCCACCACACGCCAGAATATGAAGAGGCAGCTGTTCAGTCTAGAACACGACAGTCCAAATGCAGATTGGCCACTATGAGATCAATCAGGCCTCCATTCTACTGCCAACTAGCTGTGTGTCAGCATCCTCTTCCTGCTGCTTCTTCTGATCACAGACAAATGCTCTGGCACACAAGGGAGTTTCTCACCCACCTGAGGATGCCATGACACAGGAGAGTGACTCTGTGACCCCCATATGCCAAGTAGGACCAAGGCCAGTGTGATTTGATTGGGACTGTTCCTACCACTTCAGCCTTGCAAGAGCTGAGAATGGGGCCTGAAGTGGAGAGATGGAGGTGAGAGGGCTGGGAATGGGGCCCTAAGTGGAGAGACGGAGGTGAGAGGGCTTGCTGCCTTTCCCCAGCACCCCTGGAGCAGAGAAGCTACCTAGATTCTACAGATCATTTACTGGTCCTCGCTGCTGCTTGATCGCCTCCTCTTGCTTCCCTGTCTCTTCATCAGTGTGGGGTCTTGACTACGTTAGTCCTTAAAGGTCATGGTTTTTGCCATCCTAGAATGCTGCCTACTCCTGGCTCTACCGACCACTCCCTGGGGCTCCCCCAGCTCACATCTGAGCAAGTCTATGCTCATCCCAGTCCCCTCTTTAGGCTCCTGCCACAGTCTTCTCCTCCAATGGCCTCAAATGATGGTGTGGTAGTTGGCTTGTCTCTGTCCTGAAGCTGTCGCCAGGCCCCGTATGGCCCCATGCACACCCTGCCAATGTAGGGTTGGACATGGTTATAGCCTATGATACCAAACATGCCTCGGAGGAAATCCACACGGCCCTCCCACTGCTCTCTCTCCTTCAGGCTCTGTCAAGGTGACTCAGGTGCCCTAAGTCTTACATCTCATTTTCTAGATTCATTTCTGTGCCTAACTCCACCCCACCTTTAGAAAAGGATGATTGCAGAATCTGCCATCCAAACCTGGATTTTTTTTTCGCAAGTAAAAGGAAAATTTAGCTTAGATGACAATCATAAGCCATGACTGACCCAGACAAACCAGGGCATCTGGGCCCTCCTCTTTCTCAGTCAAGCTCAAAATCCCTCCCTGCTATGGTTTAAACCTAAAATGTCACCTACAGACTCATGTCTGAAACCCTTGTCCCCCAGGTAAAGGCACTGTTAATGGAAGCTATGGACCCTCCAGGAAGTGAGACTCAGCTGGTGAGTTTGGGGGAGTGTCTTTAATGGTTGTAGCCTGACTCCTGGTTTCCTGTGATGTAAGCAGGCGCCACCACCCTCTCCCACGGCCATGAATATGGCCCTACTTCCCCGCCACTATGAGCTGAAACCCTTGAAAGCCATGAGGCATAAGCCTTTCCTCACTCTGATTGCTTCTGGTGGGTATTTTGGTCCCAGCAACATGTAGGTAACTTATACCTTCTCTCAACCAAGCAGTTCGGTTCCAGCAGCATGTAGGTAATTCGTACCCTCTCTCAATCAATCAAACAGTTCTTTCTCCTTCCCCTCTCCAGCTTCTCTCACAGTGCTTGTGAAGACTTTGGTCCCTGTTCCCACCAGGTTTGTCCTGACACTTTTAGAACCTACACTTCCATGCAGGATGACCGACTGTAGATTGGTCAGTGTCTCGGTGACATCTGTACTTCGACCCTCATACCCTAATCTGACATTTACCCCTCCTCACTTTGTTCTGGCACCTCGTGAGGTTCCTGACACACCCGATAGGCAGCACTTGTTTTCCATCTGGGAAATCAGGAGCCTCCCTCGGGACTAAAACCTCTCAAGGCCACCGCCTTCCAGACCCCCAGGCCTCCATTGGATAAGCTGGAAAAGTAAGTACGATGCCCATGGGACAGTGGCCCTTCCGAGGAGACAAAAGCTAGTGCTACCCTTGAAGTAAGACAGTAGAACTTCCCTGCCCAGTGAGGTGCAGTGAGTGTCCAGAATGTTCCCCGTGTTCAACCTTCCAACTTGGGCCCAACTCACTTTGCCTGCCTAAGACCTTGGCTAGAACGGTGACGACAGACCTTTCTGTAAATAGAACCTGACATCACAGCACATGGTCCGTAGAAAACCATAAAAAGAACCAAGCTGCCTTTGAAAATAAAATAAACCAACAGGCAACCAGTGAGGCCTGCTTATCATGTAGCCTTGCGCTTCTGCTCCCAGATGCGACCTTTGGTAAAGGCTGCCCATGAACTGGCATCCACAGCGTGCTGGCTGGGAGGGGAGCTGTCTCCTGGTGGGATGGTGACCCTTTGCCTTAAGGAGACATGACAAACATCTCTCCTGTTTCCCATCCACCTGACACCATATACAGGGCCCACTGAGGTTAATGGGCACAGCTTCCAGGTATGAGACCCAGGCTGAGCAAATGCACAGAAATCATGGGGAGTTGGCAGAGTCAAATGCTTCTGGGAGCTTCCTTAGCACCATATCACCCACAAGGCATTAGTACTGGCCCAGGTGCAGAGGAACTTGGGCAGATGTGGGAAGAGGGCCTCCCTCTCACACGTTCTTTTGCTACCAAGTCTGGCCAGATGCAACTGTTTTTCCCATCTATCGATGTTCTAAGAAACCAGAGACCATACAGCCTTTCTTCAAACCAGACATTGCCTAGCGGCAGACACCACCTGGCCCTTCAGCCTTCCACATTTACCAAGTCAACCTCTTCCAGAAGCAGACATTTTTCTACTAGCCTGATGGAATCCTGTCAGGAATGAGGGCTTTCACCAGGAACACAATGCCAGAGCCTTTGCTTGGAAAGGGCTGTGCTGAGGAGAAAGGAAATTTTCCACATGACGGCTTCGCTGCTCGGCTTCCCCTCCAGAAAGCTCAGAAGCACCCAACACATTGGCTGTCCAGTGTTTCTTAAATTGTCATTGTCACAAAGATTCTTTCCGCTTCACTTCTCGTCAAGGTCCCCATCCCCCACACTGCCTAGCCAGGGAGAAGTGACTGAGCCATTCAGCATCCAGCATGGGGCACGGCGCTGAACGTCCACACAGGTGCCCTTTGTGTCCCTTTGTGCTCAGAGGTGACCTTTGGTTCCCAAAGGGTACTCATCAGGGCAACTCACCCTCTGAGCAGAGCATTCACTGGGGACTGTCCCGCCCTGACAGGCTCCTGGCAAGCATCAATTTGCGCCTGTCAAGTGGGCGGGGTGGGTTTTTCCCTCTTTCCTACTCTCTAACTGCTCTTTCTTCTTTTTCTCAACGTGTGTAGGAGGTAGCCAGTTTAAGCCAAACCTAGCAACCAATGGTTACTCGCAAACACCTCTTCTCAGGCACCCGTGCTTTCTTCAGCCCCCAGGACCTCATCTCAGCTTGTGCCTTTGAGACTGTGTCTACTCTCTGATCGGCAAAGCTTTCTCTCTGCCTCTCAAGCAGGAGGCCCTTTAGGGGATGTCACACAGAATACACGCCCAAGGCACCAGTCAGTCATCTGGGGTTGGTCATGGGATTGAGCCTCCCACACAGGAAGAAAGGGGCTCTCATCGGGGGCTTGATTGCAATTGCCAAATCCAGTTCAGGGTGAATCGTTCCAATCCATATTCTGACTCCCGTCGGTGCCAATGACGTCACAGTGTCAGGGACTGGGATGGTGGAGCGCAGCCTTCAGCCACTGTTCTGTCCCCAGGCTCTTCTCTACTCTTTGCCATCAAGGGCCACACAGAAGGGCGTTCACACGATCGCAGCAGTCCTAAGGAAGGTTCTTCAGCAAAAGTGGCTTGAGTTCCCATCAGGTGGCTGCTAAGCTTTAGTATCTGGCTCCTTTGCGATATTTTGTCTGCAGGCTTATGCCTCTCAGAAGGGACACAGATACTGGTGACACAGAAATCAGTGTCAGACCTTGACTCCCAGAAATAAATGGTTTTCTCTCCTTGCCGTCTCTCTATGACTGTGGAAGGTCCCGTTCATCACACCTAGGGGGCTTCTCTCAAGTGGTTGTGACAAAGCTCTTCAGGGCTGTGCTTAAACCGCATCTCCAAATCAGTGGAGGGTACTCATCCCAGTGAAAAGTTAATTTCGGAAGTGATCTCTGGTACAGAGGCCTAACTTTTCGGCTCCCAGGACTTTTAAATTAAAAGAACGGTGGTGAGCTCCACAGTGAGCAGAGAGGAGTTATTTTCCGGCTGTTGCATGCATTTGCTACAATCCCACTTTTTTTCCTTTGTTT